TTAGATAACAGAATGTTTGGACAGTGAAGGATTCCGATAACAGAGATCCCAGTGTATGCCTGCTCTGTCACGCGGTCGGTCGCAATCTGTCATGAGATCTGAAGCTCAAAAGCGAAAATCAACGTGACAAGACGGACTGTCAGGTGATTTCTGACAGTGTACGAGTTTTTTGGAACTCGGCCAAAAACCGCGGTTCCGTTCGCGCAGGTGCGCCTTTCCGAATATAAATTCTGTAATATATAAAATTATCTCAGTTAAAGATAATTAACCTATCTTTCTTTCGTTTCTTTGTTTGTTTTTATTTTATTATTCGAAATTTAAAATACGCAGCCTCACAATCGTGGAAAATTAAAAATAAAAATAATTGCAAAAATATCAAGATAGAATATTGGATGGAAGAAAAAAAATAATTTTTCTTTCCTTATTGATAATTTGTTTGCTTAAAATAAAAAATAAAATTCGAAAGAAATAGTTACGAAAAGTTACGAAAACGAAGTGGAAGAAGATGATCCTTCCTCTAATCGAAACTCTATAATTTTCTATATTCAATTTATTTAAAAAACGAATAGAAATTATTTCAGAATGAATGCTATCAGTAATATCTTTTTGTAATTCCTCGAATTCGATAAATAAATAAAAAGCACGACATTCGATGTGATCGAATTCAATATGATAAAATAATAAAATGGTTTTTTATTGGAATATCGAAGATTAAACGAAGTTATTGCGAGGAATGCAAAGGAGCCATATGTTGATAGAGAGAAATTTAATATCACTCTCGGCGTCCGGTTTTCTATTAAATAGAATTTCATCGAATCGAACCATTAATACATACCCGGATCCATTAGATTCTATTAAACCGGGCTAATTGAGATAGTCACGGTTTAAACCTGCCGCATTTACATACCATTTCTTCTCTGCAATGCAAATTGATCGAGATTCGTTGAAACACGTTTCAATTAAAAATATTAAGAGGCAAAAAATTATTAAGTACTCGGAGGAATAATTCCTCGAAATATGGGAAATTCTCATGAAAATTTATTTTAATATCTTCCTTTTTTTATTTGTAAAATATATTACGTTTCTGCCTTTTAATTAAAAAAATAATCATCGAAATAAAAAAATTCCTAAACTCTCATAGAAATATTATTAAAAGTGTACGAAATCTTCATGAAAATTTATAATAAATAAGAAATTCTAATTTTCGTTTCTTTTCTTCGATGAGAAAGTGATTAAGAATAAATAATTATTAAGCTTCCCCGTGAAAATTTATAATAAACAAAAAAAAATCTGTGTATTTTACTAACAATTTAAAATTGTTCTGTTTCAGCGATGGCCGATTGGTAGAGGGAGATCAGATATTGGCGATAGATGGACAACCATTAGATTCGAATATCTCTCATGAACAGGCAATCTCAATCCTCCAGAAGGCACGTGGTCTGGTTGAGTTGGTCGTAGCAAGAAGCACTCAAGGTAATTTGAATTCAACTTTTTACTCTTCATTGGCCTTTTTTTGATCTTATCCTCTAATCTAATTTTTTTATCGCTAAATCTGCACTGTGCACAGTTTATTTTTTTTTTTTTTTTTAGAAAAATGGAAATTTCCTGCTCTTTTGAATAAAATTTTATTTTACAAATTTGAATTGTAAAAAAAACAAAATGTAATATCGATATTTTCAGATATACTGTTCGTCAAAATTTTTTCATGCAGAATTTTTGCACGGATGATCATTTTTTCCCCAAAAATTTTCATCAAATTCTTCGTTAAAAAAATCAGAATTTAGTACGAAATATTTTGCCCAGATTTTCACAAAGATGCAATATATATTTTTAAAAATTGCGATTATGTCAAAAAATAAAATCCCTCTAGTCTATTTCCTCCTTCCCCGGAAAAATTTATTATATCAATTACAATTTAATGAAAATGTATAATTTTCAATGCAAATTTCAATCTTCCACGAAAAAATATAACTATTCCTAATATATCGAGTCTCGTTTATCTTCTATCTATACTACTGCACATTCTTCGAAACATCTGTCATTGCCAATTCTATCCAATACAACTTTCCATCACTACAGTTCCATCACTTCAATTTTCCTTCCTCTCTCCATACCACCATAATTCTTCGAAACATCTGTCACTATATATTGTTCAATAACTCATTTAAAATTACTTACAATTAAAAATCTTTATCTGTTATTATCCAATACAACTTTATACCACATTTATCTCTCCACTATTGATTCTGTTACTACAATCTGTTTAATTATTGCTTTTCCATTCTTTGAAACATCTGTCATTACTCATTTAATTAATTTACAGTTAAATCTTATTTATCTTCCTTCCACTATAATTCTTTCAAACATCTGTCGATTCTAAACGTTGCAGACGTTGTCTACTGCGTTTGTTCGCTTCATTGTTTTCTTGATTAATATTAAATTAGTCCGGTAAACGATGGTAATTAAATTAACCATGAACTTTTGAATATGATACACGGTGTCCAAAGTATCAAGCCAAGGCTCCAGAGTACGTAGAAGTTTCGAATAACTAAGCGATGGAGAAACGACACGTGCACCAGTAAATTAGATTATTCATGATGTGTATGAAGGCAAATTGCAAATTTTTGTAAATAACGAAATGGAGTGTGATGGAGGGTGGCTTCGATGTCATTAAATAATTAATCGCATTTTAATTAGATTAAAAGTTTTGAAACCTTTTCTCTTATAATTCTACTCTTTTCTTTTTCTTCTTCTTCTTTTTTTTTAATAATTTTATTAATTTAATAATGTTTTACTAAAATTGATGGCTTGTAATTGAATAAATTCACAAAATGATAGATTATTTTAATAGTATTTTAATTGTATTTCAATTCGATTAAAATTTATGATTTCTTTCTCTTTTTTTAATTAAATTAATCGTGACAAATTGTGATAAATAGGAATGACATTAAAATTTTTAACGTGTTACAATAATCAATTAGGATTGGATCAAATTAAGGAAACGTAAAATCATATTTTTTTTCATTTTTCTTTCAAATAAATTATATTAATCAAATAAATCGATAGAAAAAAAACAAATAGAATTAATCGATTCATCGAATTAAAATATATAACGTTTTAATTTAATGAATCAATGGTTAAGCAAAGAATAAAATTGATTAAAATCTCTTCATTTTCAATTCGATTAAAGATTTTTCGTTCTCCTCCTTTTCTTTTGCAATCAATTTTAACCACATGACCAATCTAATAAATCGATAGAGAAATAGATAAAATCGAGAGGAGAATTTTTTCGTCCCCCATTATCGAGGGGTAATCGTGGTGCGCCAGTAATGGAACAAACAGCAACGAAAGATAGAGATAAAATCGAAGAGGAAATACAAACAAGACCGATCGATTAATTAATCGAAAGTATGTAGTATCTCGGTTCATTTCTGACAAGAGATACGTACGTTGAGAAACGTACGTACGTTTCAATTAATTAAGCCATTTTATGCCATTAATTTACTTTGCTCTTCGCTTTTAGTTTATCCGAGGTTCGTTTGAAATTTTTCACTCGACTGTGGATGTACAAAAAAAAAAAAAAAAGAAAGGAAAACAAAAAAGACTTGGAAAAGAAAGAAGAAACCAACTTTCCGCGACTTTGTTTCCTTTTTCTTCCTTCGTTTCAAAAACTTCTTGTTTGCTCTTCTGTTTTTCTTTTTTCTTTTTTTTTTCTCTCCTCTTCCTCCTCTTTCTTTGTTTCTTTTCTCATGTTGCAATCAGTCTCGAGAGAGAATAAATAAAAGAGAGTCAATTTTTATTATTTGTTAATTCATTTTCGATTGGAACGAATATCGAATAAAGCATGTAAAAGAATGGAATATGTGTACAGAGAAACGAATGTTTGTTCGTTTTCTGGTAATAGTTTCCATTTTGTCCGACTCGCTGGATTGGATTCGATTCTTTAATTTAAGTAGTAATGGTGTTTTTTGATTTATTTTGATGGATGTTTTTTCATATGTAGAATAAACTTTACTTTTTTTTAAAATTATTTTAGAAAAAAGATAAATCAAATAGAAATTACTTGTTTGATATTTTGACTCGTTGATATAAAGATATTTATAGTATTAATTATTTATTTTTGGAAAATGTGTCAAAATCGAGATAAATCTTTTTTAATTTTTACAAAATTCTTTGTAAAAAAAATAATTTAGAAATAAAAAATGAAAAAGAAAATAAAAGAGAAATATAATATAAATATAATTTGTCATTTTCTTTCGCGTTGGATAATTTGGTTTAACGATTCCATCGCAATTCGTCTTCTTCTTTTTTTTTTACGAACATTAATCAGTTATTTAAAGTTTCCAATTTGACGAGTCCTTAAATTATTGCAAAGAAAATTTACAAAGTTTTTCCAACTCGTCCGCCACGTTTCCTTCGTGTCCCTGCACTTGATGGAAAAGTTTCGAGAATCGAAATCACGTTCCCTTTATTATCATCGGGCAATCTTCCGGGTAATTTTTTGCCGGGAAAGTTGGCTTGCGAAAAAAAATTACAAAACTCTTCAAAACTTCTTTTCACTTTTTTCCACTTTTTTCTCGTATCCTCGAGCGGCGAGCACCTAATACCTGTTGCCCAAAGATTCCTCCAACCCCTCCCATTAGAAAATCTCATAAAATGTATACACACATATCCTCCTTATCACTTTGCTGACATAAATCACTTACCAGAAAATGAGACAAAGATTTAATAATTCGAATTAAACCTTCTTCCTCTTCTTAATTTCCAACAACAAATAAAATTTTCATTTCAAAACTCTCTATTATTACCCTCTATTATTACCTAAAATATCGCCCAAAAATTTAGAAATCTTTTCACAATCTTCTCCAAATAAATTTCACTCAAAAATTTTCATTCTTATGCAACTTACTTTTAATTAAAAACGCAACAACAACAATTTTTAAAGAAAAATATTATTAAATTCATCTTATCGATCTTCTTCTTCTTTTTATTATTATTATTATTCAAGACGTTGGGAGCTCTTTGCCGACGGATGAGTTGTCCGGAGCATCGAGTTCGACAGCGGCCGCGGGAGCAGGTGTGTCCATCATCGGCGGCGTTGTCGGCGGGACA